TAAAAAGGAGATTAAAATTCATCAGGTCATTTCGAAAGATTTTCGTTTAAAAATTACTAATAAAACAGTTTAAACCTCTCATGTGTTACGTTATGTTTAATATCTATTACGTGTTTGTTTATTAGCATTTTATTTTAAATACCTTAGATGTAAAAATATTAAAAATATTTCATAGAAAATTAAATGAAAGCTACAGATAGCGAAGAATTGTTTTTCATATTATTGCATAACTGCAAAAATTTTTTATCTCTTCTTTATAAAATTCCCCTTTTAAGTTCTGATTTTATATCGATTTGTCCTAGCTTAGTCTATTATGAGCTCATTTTCATGCGCGTAATATCAATACAGAAAAAGTAGTTATAATATGTGATAAAGAATAATAATATGTGCATCAGTTTTAATTTTAGATGCTTTTATAAATATATGTTTCGTTACAATTTTGTTAAACATTTTAGAAAACTGAAATTTGTATTTTGTGTATATATAGTACTTGTTTGCTCTAGTTTACCTTCTAAACACATGAAATCATAGTTGGGCAAAATTTATTGCAATTACTTTGTCATTGTGATAAGTAAGTAAGTAACTTTGTACGTGCCCCGTCAACTCAATGACACTACACGCCTTGAAAAGCCCAACTAGAACCCCCCGATATAAGGCACAGGGCGGGCTACCCAGCAAATAGCCCCCAAGGAGAAAATAGAACACACCAGCTGAGGTCCCGGTGCCCCCATCACCAGGACAACAGCTTCACATAGATCTCCACCAGCTAAGCTGGCCCACTGCTACACTGGTCACCCAAGACCACCGTCCCAGCGATCAGAAACCACGATGGGGTGGTCTGAATGCCTGGCGCTTCGACTGATCGTTGAAAGCGCTACACGCCAGTACTACACGAGCTAACCCTCCCTCCAGGATTTACACGGAATTCCAAGGACAGCGGGACTGAACGCTCAATGGCCCAGGCGCTATTTGGCTACGGATACCCTAGTTACGGGGATTTACGCCATCCGACCCGTGAAGAGTGAGTATAGACCCACCCCAAGGATCATCGGGAACCGCCAAGCTCAAAGATATTATACCCCCGTGACCGAGACTGCCTAGGTACAGATCCTAGCCAGTAACTTCGCAGAGTTCTCTACGTCGACCCCCGGGGGGGTCATTGTGGTTATAAAATGTAATTGACATTACATTGTAACTGTAATTATATTCTGCAATGACTTTGGATTTATATAACGACAATATAACTGCTTTTTGCAATTTAATCAAAAACAATGTAATTGCATTTACATTGTAATTAAAGTTGCAAATTAATTGTATGATCTAATTACAATGTGACATAATTGCAAATATAATTGCAATTGCATTTTAATAACAAATGCAATACAATTATAATATTATTGGAAATGTAATTTTAATTAGAAGAGTAATTGCGCCTGACAGCTATAAGCATATAGCCTTGGAACATAGCGATCATAAACAAACATCTGATATAATTCATTATTTTGCGTAACAGTTATTTAAGTAATGCAAAGTGGTGGATCGCCTGTAAGAAATCATCCTGCTTACGCTCTGCATATACTACAATTTTTAGCAGTGACGTAAATTCTAAACTAATTCTTTATAACATGCTGAAAATATTTTCAGTAAATACAAGAAACAAGAGTTATAGCGGAATATATTTACAGAAAACAATTCCAGCAGTTTCGCATAGAAATAAATACACATAGCAATTTTGGGTAAATACCTGTGTTTATGATGTTCGCGGAAAAGAATCTGAATTAGTCTTTTAAGATTAATCAATCGAAGACTGTACGCTTATGAAATGGGATGTCTTCGATGTAATTTCTGTTCCGTCTAACTGGTAGAAAATGACTCTGATCCGTAATCATCCTACTTAATTGTTGTATGAAATAAAATTTTCAAAAACAATATTAGTTACGAATTAATTCCTTATAAATGCAACACATATTTCAATAAATAGTTTAATGGCATTATTTTCTTACTACTTCATGCGTCTGCACGAACTGTTTTCTATGGACTCAGATAGGCATATTTCCTAAGTGCACATTTGTATCGCCACCGAGACAGTAGCTTCTAGAATGGACCAATGAGCTTTCGGTAATATTTCTGTTTATATGAGCTTTCGCATGAACATGCCATTATCAATTTTTAGTACATTCTAGAAATTCATGTTGCTGACATGCATAACATCAGTTCTACTTTCTGCTCGTATCACAGATCTTCAAAAGTGCTGCTATATTTCAAAAGGCTTCCTCACCAATTTTCATTGCAACAGATATCGAACAGTTAACCTTAATTCTTTGCAAACTTGTCTCTCATCTGGAACATATTGCGAGAAAACTGCTTAAGAAATTCAATTCTTGTTTATGTTATATAGAATGTATTTGTATTATCAAATATATATTGGTAGCATACAGTTTGGGATTCATAAACTAAAATAACTTTTATATCACAAAGTTGTTTCTGCAGAAAATCGAAAGAATCTGCGAATTTCAAATTGCATTACGAAATTACATAGCTTCTTAAATAGAGAAAAATGGTTGGTATACAACGTGCGGACATTTTTTGCAACATAAATAAGAACTGCACTCTAGGCTTGTGTATTGTATTAAAGAGTATTTACACATCTTGCGATCTTTATGTGACTGAACCAAAGTTTGGATCAATATATCAATACTTTTACCTTTCATTGTAACTTTAGCGAACGTATAACTATTTCTTTGTGTAAGCCACGCTGTATTTAAATCAAAGATCTCTTCAAATGGCATCTTTTATGTTGGTTTCTGGAATGATTTTCGCTTTCTATACGCTTCTGCTACATTTTCCGTGGATGCATATTATTAATACTATCACTTAAATTGTATTTAATATTTATACCAATATTGCATTTCTGGAAGTATAGCTGACAATAATTTTGTAGTATTATTAAAGATTTATTTATGCAGTACCATTTTCCTGCATAATTCATGTTTGAAGAAATAGTACCACGTCCTACCATTTAAATATTTAATAAAAGTTGTATAGATATCAGATAATATTGCGAGTTTTTCTCCAGGCCTGTTAAAATGTTTACATGTGTTAGTTTATTTAGAAAGCAATATGAGAAATAGAAAAAAAAAGGAAGAGCTTATTGTACTGACGCGTAGGGATCAATAAATTTTAATTCACCTTATTTCAGGCTGACTATTAAGGAAAACCATTAGTTAAGTGTGCAAAGTAATTTATTATACATGCTATAAACATCGAAAACACTTTTGAATTATTTTAATGCTTATAAGAGCAATCAACTTTTATCCGTCAGCAGCTCAGTGTATCTAAATTTTAAAATGCAACGGTAAAGTGCTTGTAAAATCGGCTTTACCAGAGTATACCAGATTTTACAGGTTTTTGCATGTTTTTGCATGTTTCTGCATGGTTCTCGTCTAGTTTTTCTCGTGATATAGCCAGAGTTTCCGCGGAGTATAATTTATTGAAAATCTAGAGCGTTTACTTAACATTTTCTTCCAGTGGATCTCTTACTTTCCTGTTGATGATAAATGCAGTCTCATCAAAAAGCGAACGAAATCACCTGTGAACAGTTTCTTGCTCCTTGAAGAAAAGGGGCCTATTTGCTGGCCTCCTGTTTTTTTTTTTTTTTTTTTTTTTTTTTTTTTTGTATTTATTATTTATACGACTGGATTTTAATCTCTTATTTGTTACTGTATTATGTTGCATATGATTACGTTATGTATTCATGTATTGTATTGTTGATGTATCAGTATTATTTTAAGTTTATTATTATTGTATAATTATTAAGATGGTTTATTTTCTTTTATAGAAGTATTAACATAGTTTTAATTATTCATGGTATGTTTTAGTATTTTTCTCTGATAAGATAATTTGTATTTTATATCTTTTCTTTGCTTTCTCCGGACCTAGGTATGTTTTATTGTTGAATTGTATTCCCTTGCATTATGATTTACTTACTTACATCTGTAAGCCTTGTCGAATACTTCGTGTAATACGATGAGTTTTGTATTTATTTTCTTAATTTAAAAGAAAAATAAATACCATACAGGCCCCGGACAAAATTGTCGCCAACTGGCCACCAAGTTTGACGATTTCTCACCAATTTCGTTGGCAAAAATGAATCGCCAAAACAATCGTCAGCTTGGCGATATGTCGCCACTTAAACCAAATAGCTATTTCCCTCAATACTAGATTTATTCCTGTAATCTTATTTTTCCGATAGAACTTCGTCTCTTCAGACTTTTCATGCTACATTATATAAAAGATATTACTGTTTCACACACAATTTTCAAATGTCTTTACATAAAATTTAAAATTATTTACATATATACAAAATTCGCGACAGTATGTTTCATCCTCCTTTTTTTCATTTTCTTGCTTTTTTAAGATATTCCTTCTTGTTAGGATACTCCTTTCAGAAATATATATATTTGTATAAAATAAAAGGACTTGAAAGGGCAAGAGTAAGACTGATTTTAATTCAGCTTAATTGCAATTTGCTGGGAAGAGCTGCTTTCTTTGTTGTGATGTTTGTTGTGATAGTGATGTTTCGAAAATTAAACTTTCAATACACACTTGCAAAACATCAGGACAGAACGAGAGCATCGTAACATTGCATAATCATAACAGTGCCATAACGTCATAACAGTATAAGAATACATCCTGCCGTAAAAAAGTTTAATTGAATCTACTAGCTTATACTTAATAATACAAACAGAAGTATCTCTTCAGAGTTAAGTCAGTTCGTATAGATATAGCTAAAGACGTATTAATATGTAGATCAAATATATCATATGTTGCTAGGAATTAATGTGTAGCTAAAATATGTTATATGTTGCTAGGAATTAATATATGGCTACGATTAGTATAAATAGTTGTTGCTAAAAACGTATCCATTATTACTTAGCTGCAGTGCTTATAATTTGCATGTGGTGTATACCAGCCACTTTCCCTTAGAAAGTCCTCCACGAATTCATCCCTCCCCTTAAGCAGATGGCCCACTTAGAACGATACAGAGAAGATTAACATGGCCCCTGTGCAAGGATGACACGCAAAATCGTGAAGTGTTCCACATTTTTTTATGCATCGGTGGTTCAGCCCTAGTGGGCCTTGCGGTAATCAAATAAACCCCAAACCATTTAATTTAAATGTTGCTTGTGCAATTAATTTCTTGTTGCTGTTTTGTTTAAACTTTATATGTTTTAGCATTTAGCTGCTTCAACTATTGTTTTCTGATATGTAATTGTAGAACATACTGCTTTCCCGATTGTCAGCCATTCAGATACCGTAACGGTATCTGAATGGCTGACAAGGAGCTTTCCTTATTGTATAGCAATTATGAGTCAATTTCCTCCAGAAAGTCCTCCAAAAAGGCGTGCTTCCTAACGCACAAATCTGCTTGTAAGTTTTGACGCAACACGTTACCTTAAATGCTAAGATCAAAGGGGATAATTTGTCAAAGAGATAAGTTCAGTACTTTGTAGGAAAAAAATGTCAATCTCTTGCAAGCTTGTTGAATAAAATCTTTGGAAATACTTAAAATAACATATTACCTGCAGATGGAAACTTATCATTTTATACACTCTGGACCAACAATGTGTAAATATTATCCTCTAAATAATTTCTCATAATTAAGTCTTCCGAAGAAAGTTATAGATGAAATGTCATGTACATTTCCAGGCGAAATGAACTTCTTGAAGTTTAATTAACTCTGTGTTTTGATATATGAACTTTAATTAAGTCTTTTGTATCAATTTATGGAAAGATCTTAATACTTTATGCGTCAAAATATACCTATCTCGAAAATGAATAAATGTTACAATTAGTTATTTTATAGTACTCGTTCCACGTCTAATGTCATTGTAGTCTATAAATACTTCTTGATAGAAGATCACAAAGAAACAGACAAGTGTCTATCAGTTAGATATGTTTGTCATTAGGGGAATGTTTCATAATTGATTTTCGAGGTGGACGTGATAAAATTTCTTTGACAGATGTCAGCTTGATTTCATCATGGCGTGAGTAGAATATAAATTAGATTAAACCGAATCGATAAGTTGAAAAAAATTCGGCTCCAGGCGCGAAGAGGTGTATGTTATTAAATATTAATTTATCAAAAATTAAATTCTATTTTGCCTGCCAAAATCAATTTCAGAGTAATCTGCAGAGGGTATTTTGCAAGTGTGTATCCATAGGTAAATAGGTCAGATGTGGAGAATTGCTTTCGCAATTTGATGCACATTAAGGTTTTGTCTTTAATGGTTATTAAAATAGGTTATTTTTTAAAAATTTTCTTTCTTTATTTAAAGCTTTAAGTTATATTTTCAGTTAACTGCTAAAAGTTATTTTATACAAATTACAGTTTAATATTTTTATCACGGTTATCCGCATTTGTCAAATCAAATTTGCTGTTCATAATTTTAGTAAATTAGTCCTGTGGTAATAATTTTTATTGTTCCATCACATTTAAAATATTAAATATTTCACAGTTTTAAAGTATTTAAAAATACTTTGAAACTGAATCCATGATTCTTATTGTTTCATGATATTATTTATAACCTCCATTTTGTACTGTGAGGCCCGATACCACAATGGCTAGCGTGTCGCGCAGCAGCACCACAAGTCCAGGATTTGAACCTTGGGCTGGGCAAGGTTGACTCAGCCTTTCATCCTTTTTGTGGGTCGATAAATTGAGTACCAAGTTGGCTGAAACACCGGAGATCCTGCCACAAGCTGACCAATTGTTCAGAGCATGTGCTCACACACTCCAGGGCCTACGATCAGGAAAGCAAATAGCGGGACACTGCAGGCCATGGCCCACTAGGGCTGTTGATGTTGCGTTACTGAGTTTAGTTTTATTTATTTTGTACTGTAGAAGTGTTTCTATTTAAGTAAATTTTAAATAAAATGCAATAAAAATTACGATACCAGAAATATTGTAGACATAATTATTTTAAAAAATTATTAATCTATATAATATTTACTATAACAGAAATTGTTTTATTTAGTACTTTCAAAGATCAATCACAATTTTTAGTCTACTATACCTAGAAGTAGAAAGTTTAGCTTGTAATATTAATAACATCTCTCTTGCTTGGCTGTCATAAACTCAGTTCTACGTCAGAAGAATACTTAGAGAAAAATCAGTCTTTAAAATATAAAATAAAGTATAAATAAGTCTTTAAAGTACTAGAAAGTCAGAGAAGGGTGCAAAGGTCCGTTTATTAGCTCAAATAAAGTTCACAGATAACACCAACGCGTGTTTACAAAATCCAACACTTTTGGCTTAACTCAAAAGGTAATGAATAACTTAAATGAAGGTTAAGTTTAGCCTAACTGCTTCACAGGTTAATTATCGCGCAAGCTGGCTCTGACTCGATAGTCGGCGTAAATAAACTTATCGGCAAGAATAGCTCAAAGCTTCAGAACTCGCTAGAAAATCAAAAATATCAAAAGAGTCTAAAGGCAAGCAGAGCACGCTCTCATTTCACCTTCCAAAACCTTTGCTTAAATACTAACTTCTTTCTACCTCATTTGAATATAAGCGCGAGTCATTTTGCATTTTTGCAAGAAATTGTGAGTTGAAAGCTCTTTGCTTTCGTGACATAAAATAACTTTTAATTGATTAAATCCTCACAGTGTTTATAAGAAAATAACTCCATCCCCAAAAGTTGCCAGAAGAGTATTTCACATATTTCAAGTTAGAACTTAATGAGAATTTCCGTATTATCAAAGTAATCTTATCATATTTCAAGGATTATATTTGCTATCAGGATCTATCAAGACGAAATGTTCATTGAACCAGGTGATAAAAATCGTGCGCAGAAGCGAAAATGAAAAGTCATCATGTAAACGTTTACTCGGGAGTGACAAAAAGGAAAAATTATTTGCGCTTCTAATGAAGTTTCGAACCAAGGGTTTTGCAGTTTCTAGCTGGACGTGTTGACCACGAGAGTGTATAAGCGTTATGTGACTGATTCCTTAAACTCTTCTGGACTAACAAAATGCCAGCTGTTGCAAATGCCTCCTTTAAACCTGGTTTTATATTTGGCTTGAGTTTCCGTTTCCCCAATATTGTCTAGAAATTTACATTCTTTCCTTTATGAACTGCATTGTACAACATTCCAGGAGAAAAAAAGAACTCATAAAAGCTATTGAAAGAAGTCAAAGGGACTTTAGAGATCTTTTGAAGACATTAGGATTTTTGGAAGGCTGAGAGATGAAAAATTAGCAAACGCCTTCGTCGGTAATCGAACCACGGACCTCTGGAACACCGGCACAGCGTGCAGAACCACTACTCCACGAAGGCAAGCTAGGAAAGAGGGATAAATACCTTATAACCACATCTCTTCAGCATGATTATCATTATTATGCATCCCTTAATAAAAGTCGTATTTCTATGCATAAAAATGATAAAAGTCGTATTTCTATGCAGAGTGTAAAATATATGATAACTAGTTCTTTAGAACAAGATATAGAATACAAGAACTACATTTGTAAATTTCGTTTACTTATGCTGTCCCAGAAGAAAAGAAAGAAAATTGAAGATAAATTATGCTTAAAGTTTAATTTGAGAAATGAATTGGATAAAGATGACTATAAATATATTTCCACAATTCAAAATATGAAAAAAATGAATTGAAATTTTTTAGATATAAATCTTAAAATGTGTGATGGTAGGCAAAAATGCTGCTCCTTTCAAGTTTCATGTTTTTCAACTTCTTTTGTAACCTAATTTATTTTTTAATAATTTTTTTTAAGTTTAATTATATTAAATATGAACTATTAATGTGTTATATTCATGATAAAAATTAATTACAGAAGTTTATTTCTTTAACAAACCAATAGAAAAATAATTTGTCGTCCATTTCATGTCAGGACCGTTGCCTTGAGATTATTTTACCCGAAATTAGTTTGTAAATCTGTCTAAAAGGGGCAGTACATATTCAGTGACATAGATAAACTGGTTAAGCTAAGATCCACTACATGAAGTGGAAGATAAATTATTTTTATTGATTTGATAAATTTTTAACTAAACATTTTAAATTCATTTTTTATATGTTAAATTGTAGAAATAGATTTAAATATATTTATAGTCATCGATATATTTAAATATATTTATAGTCATCGATATATTTAAATATATTTATAGTCGATGCATTCCGCAAATTAAACTTTAAAAATTAATTTATCTTGAATGTTCTCTCTTGTCTTTCAGGACAGCAAATGTAAGCAGAATTTGAAACTGGGCCATATTTATTAAGTCAGAAATATTTTGGAAGGATAACTCATGCGTTTTAGAAGTTTTCTCTGAATACTAGCACTGTATATTTTATTTCGAGAGTCCTCCGGATATGTATTTATTTCACAAAATTCTAGAACATTAAATGTATTACATTCAAAATTTATTAAAGATGAAAAATTGATTTAAATGTTAAATTACTGAGAAATATACAAATTCTTTGTATTAAATTAGCACAACATACCCGGAATCCTAGTTAAACTTGCTCAAAAGCTACTGAATGATGAACTTACAGTTAAAGTTGGTTGGTGCTGATCTTTGCCTTAGATGATATGGAGATGTTCACTTAAAGTTTAAAACATTGCATACGATGAATACTTTCATCGTATGCAATGTTATAAACTTTTCTTTCGAAAATTATTTTACCCTTGCCAGAAACTCTCTGATACTGGACCAGAGTGCTGAGTGCGATAAGTCTTTCCACCACAGCAGAACTAGATTAGTCAAATCCCAACAAAATTTTGGGAGATTTTTCATTGACATCTTTCTCTAAAATATAGCAAAAAGTATATTATTTCACAGCTTTTTAAACTTGAACTCTGACGAGTTTAACGGTTTCAGATTAATATCTTTTTCTCGATCTTAATTTTCCAAGACCCAAAAATTTAGCTTTAGCTTTGTCTTATCTCCATTACAAGGTGATGAAACAAATAGTGGTCTTTTAATATGGGTACCAAATTTCTCTTTCATAATCGTTTGCTTGCCTTGTGCATTCCTGTTACACTTGCGTATTCTCTAAATACGCTATTCAATTGCAATAAGCAAAATAATGCTATA